TATTTAACTAATTTATTAGGTATTTAAAGACGCTGATAATGAAATAATCTTGTAATAAATTATTAAAATTGCTAACATAGTACTAATAATGCAATTAATTGCATATCTCAAAATTATCAGATTTTTGTAAAGTAATAATATATTTTATAATTGTATCACGTTAGAAATCACAGTACTTTTTAGCCAATCTAAAACAACAACGTATATGTAAATCAATATCTATATTTAGATATTACATATATATATATTTATACATACAGTACGTACGTACGTACATATGTATTTACAAAAATTTAACTCTAATGTCTAATGCACAAGAAAAACGTGTATTATCTGCGTGCGTAACTTTATTAAAAGAAGAACCTTTAGGAACATTATTTGTTTATAACAATGAAAAAACAACATATGGGTTTATTGGAGAAAGTTGGTATGAATTAACAGAAAGTGGCTGGAAATCGGTAATTGATAATGAAAACCTTAAACAACAATTTGTTAATTCTATGTTCAAAGGTAAATGATATAGTAAATATTTTTAAAGTTTAATATAGTTTATTTATAATTATATAAAATTATTAGTTTAATCTATTTATAAGTTTATAATAAAATTAATGTTTTTATTTTTTATTTTAGATTATGAAAATCTTAAATTAACATTACAAGAAACTGAAACTAAAGTTAAAATTTTAGAAGAACAATTACAAAGTACTATTTTTATATATTTGTATTTAATTTGAAACTTTTTTAATTTTAATTATAAAATTTAATATTAGAAAAAGAAATGAAAATTAAAAGTTTAGAAACAAAATTACGTATGTATTAGTTTATATAGTTAATAAAATAGTATAATATAATAATATGTATAATTAAAATAATTTTATATATATAGTTAATAGTATATATAAAATTTATAAAAATAATAATAGTTTTTATAGCTTTATATATATTAGGCTATACAAATTTAATAAATCAGTTTTTATAATATAAAATTTTTAAAAAAATTAATAATCTAACTTTTTAAATTATTTTTAAAGTTTATAAAATTTAATCTAACTAAATTATAAAAACTGATTTATTAAATTTGTATATATCTTATTTTAATTTATATATATATTTTAATTCATATATATTTTTAAATTATACTATCTTATTACTAAATATATTAAGCTAATTATTTTCTATTATCCCTTAAACTGTAGGCTTTTCCAGGCAAATTTGCCTGGAAAATTATCATAAATATTGTTATAATCTACTTT